ATTTTAATGCTTGCATTTGCGTCGGCTATATGTATACATGCAAAGAATATCAATGCATTTTCTAATGCGTGTGTGGGTGTATCCATTTGTACGCGCGAACATTTGATTAAAAGAGATCAACGCATTGATATCTTATTTTGGTTGTGTACAAAATATTGAGAGTGAAATGTATTACAATTTATGGGGTTTTGTTAATTTGTCATGTTTATGTATTTTACTTATCTTCTATTCTAAAGTGGACTGTATTTTTTGTGTGTCAATAAGTATTATTGTACGTATTTTTTTATGTTCAGTTTTATTACCCTGGCAGATGTATGTATGTATGCACACATGTTCAAAGATATTTGAACAAGTATCGATACCATTTATCGATTTCAAAGCCGATTTCGTCAGCAAGAAATGAATTTGTCTCTATGTCTCGATGTCTGCATTTGGTATCCCTGCAAAACTAATACCACTGCGTAAAATGACGTTGAGCAATACGACCAGCTCCGTCAGAAATGCGAATAACCCAACGAGGTTACAGACAAGTTAACTCCCTTTTCTGTGTTAGAGAAGATAATAAGCCCCGCAGAACTGAACCGCTCAGGCACTATTCTTTACAAGAGGGTTCAATTGCTGTCGTATGCCAACGACATCGACATCAAAAGTAAAAACAAGAGCTATGTACCTCCGTGCAAAGTGCGTGGGGATGGTGATGAACGAGGACAAAACGAAGAATCTCCTGTCATCAGACAAGCAGTCAGAGCATATGCGTGTCGGAATCCACACTGACAGTTACAAGTTAAAAAAGAAGGTAAGTGCTCCTGGGCAACACTGTAGAAGTGAAACTTCCCTGCAGTGAAAACCCAAACCAGTTAGAAAAAATACTAGTTCATAAACTAGTATGTGCCTACCAGTTCGACATTTTCGAAGAACTTAAACGTTCAGCGACATCTGCCTTTGAATTGCCAAAGCCTAAAATAAAACGCAATTAATTTCTTTTCTTACAAATGTCGGATGTGGCGTCACGTGAAGACTGGTTCTGGTTCTGGAATCGCAGGTTCGAGGCCGCTTGGAGGTGGTTAAGATTTTAAAGTTAGATCAATGTAAGTAGGAATAATTATTTCAATTTAAATACAAATAATAATAATAATAGATTGGCGCTTACACATATGTTAGTGTTTGGTCGAGCTTCTCCTCCGATGTGTGGCGTGCGCCTTGATGTTGTCACACAAAGCGGAGGACCCACAGTTTTACGCCGACTCCGAACGGCGATTGTATTTTTATGAGAAGCTGTTTTTCATGGCAGAAATACACTCGGAGGTTTGCCATTGCCTGCCGAGGGACGACCGCTGTTAAGAAAAAACCTTTTTTCTCTATTTTTTGCGATGTTGCTTTGCCCAGGGTTTGAACCCAGGCGTTGCGGAGTGGAAGCGCGCACTGCTTATCACTACACCACAGCGGCCGACAAACAATCTTAAAAATCTAGTTGCATTACAAAAAAAAAGAAACAAACAAATATATGGGAAGAAATACTTGTGTCATAAAAAAATAGATTAAAAAAATATTTTTTTTAAAATTAAATTTAAGAATAACAAAAAACACCGTAAATAAAAAATATGTTTAGGTCCGCGACCTAAATATATTGCACCACCCTAATCCGCGTTTTGTCACTTGATGTAAGAGCACACAAACACATACATAAGTTACGGCTNCTTTGCTCTGTCGGCCATTGCGACTGTTGGAGCGCCGCGAGCAAAAAGGCATACTAATGCTTTTCATGGGGGATGAATTGGAAGACTATCTCATCAAGTGGAATGATGCTACTAGTATTTCTACTAGTAGATGCTGATGCATAGCCTGACAATTGACATCTCGTAGGACATCGCAATGTTAAAAATAACAGTCGCTAACATTGAAAAAGGATAGAACGTGAACTATTTGGGCTGAAACGCAAACTGGTAGAATTCTAGTTCACAACTAGTAGCTTTCCCTGCAGGGTTAGTTTACATATCTATGTTGTCTCATAACCAATATACATACATATGTACATATGTACATACATACATACATACATCTGCGTTTGCTTAAGGTTAAATTTTTTGTCTTTTTTTCTATTTAGATCTCTACATCGACCCCTGTTCGTTCTAATTACATTTATGTTATTCTGTTTTCCTTTAACTTCATTTTTATCTTTGTACTCTATTTATTACAAAATCGATAGTAATATGCAACTAAATTACATCGATAATAATATTAGTAGCAAAATCGATTAGAAAATCAATAAATATAACGATAATAAAAATCTTTTACAAAATCGATAAAAATATCGATAACATAATCGATAAAAATTATCGACATATAACAAAATACAGAAATAATCGATAACAAAATTGATAAATACTACATAACAAAATCTATGACAAATTCGATAAAAATTTCGTTAGCAAAATCGATAACAAAGTTTGTAGCAAAGTCGATTAAAAAATCAATAAAAGTGTCCGATAAAAATATCGATGAAAAATCGATAACAAATTCGATAACAATACCGATAACAAAACCGATAAAAACATCAATTATTATATCGAGAAGTCCCGAGAATCCCGAAAATCACTGAAATCCCAAAATAGTTCCCAGATTGAGTCTCTGTGCCTCTATCTATATCCTTTTCTCTATAATTACCTTTATTTTGATCTTTCTTCCTCTATCTTCATCTTTACTTTTATCGGTATCCTCATCCTCATCTTTTTCTTTATAGTTATCTTTGTCTTTACTTATATGTATAGCATTTTCTTTATCTACATATTCACCTTCACCTTTGCCCTTATATAAGTAAAGTGTTTAAATTTACCTTGGTCTTAATTTTTGCTTTTATCTTTACGCATCTTTGTTTTTGTTTTTATTTTACCGTTGCCTTTATCCTTTTCTTTATTTATGTACGTCCTCACCTTTACTTTCATTCTTGTATTGGTCTTTTCCCTAGTGTTATTCTTTAACCTTTTATTAGTAAGTTTTTGGTTAAATTAATAACATACATTGCACCATTTCCGTTGAAGTTGTCAATTTACTCCCAACCAACGAACCGCCGCTAAAGAAGTTTCACTTAAAAAAGAAGACGACTTCGTTAAAATAATATTGTCTGTCTTAGAATCCAACGGATAATCACTTTTGGCAACAAGTGCTACTTTGGACTGAGTAGGAAACTGAAAAGTAAAGTCCTCTCTCGACGTACGAAAACTACTCGTTACCATGCTGGTGTATGGCATGAACAATGAAAACATCAGATGAGGCGGCTCTGGGTTGGGAGTTAAAATACAGCGGCTACGCTGGTTTGGTCATGTCGCACGAATGGACAGAAGCGCTCCAGGTCTGAAAGTATTCCACGCACGTCGCGATGCTGGTAACAGAGGAAGACGCAGGCCTCCTCTTGGAAAGACTAGGTGGAGAAGGTCTCGGTGTTAGTTGCCACAGAAGAGAAACGACTGGCTTGCCTTGTCGGCTAAAATCGCTTAGGCAGTTACAACGACAGTAAAAAAAATAAATAAATAAAAATAAGAATACGTACTCGTAATTGGGGTGATAATGCAAATATACAAATAATATCGCAATTCTGGCTTATATCCAAATCCCTTTGGTGATTAAATGTGGTCTTAACGCTTAAACAGACGTCAGCGTTGATCCGGATTAACTTGGACTTAGTCCGGATCAACTGCAGTCAATTCCCGAGTTGATCCGGATCAACGCTGCTGTATGTTTCTGCTTTAATGTAAAGAATCCGCAGAAAGATTGTACATACATATGTATGTACATACATACTATGCTTATGTAAATATGTATTTACAATTATATACATTGTATGTACATATGTGAGTAAGAATGTGCATTTTTATTCTTGTACCAGACAAAACCAATGTGAATGAAAACTGAATGAAAACAATAACAAAAGGGGGCAATGTGAAGAAGAATGAAAACCATATGACAGCAATCGAATACAACCCCCACGGGCCATGCGCAAAGCTTTCGGCGAAAGGACATTTTCGAAAGTGCATGCGTACAAACACACACACATATATACATGTCGTACATACCATGCAGTGTAGTACTTGAATTAGAGAATAGCGAAAGCGGTTCAAACGTTGTATGCACATTTTCGAAAAATCAGTACTGTTTAAGAAGTTAAGGAAGAACAAACGTGATTTCTAGAAACGCATAAATATTTGTTTAAGTGAAAATTAGTTATAGCAGTACAAAAAATTAAGTACAATGCGCAAAAATAGTAAAAATTGGGTTGAGAAAGTCGCAGTATTTGAAATAATTTAAAATATAAAAAGTTGGTTGTAATAAATAGCCTGGTCTAAGGTTAAAGAAATAAGTTAAAGAAGGTGTGTTGAGTTTTTCGGAAAAATCAATAATCGCTTTTAATCAATATTTAACAGCTGAAAAGGCGTATAGGTGTTTTGAAAAAAATAAATAAAAGCTAATCGTCCAAAATTCAAACACTTTTTTTTATTTCGTGCAAATTCAAATGATAAAAATATATCTCCTCCAATAGTAGAAATATTCTTCATAAAGCATAGGTGAAAATCTGTATCTCGTATATGCATTCAAATGTGTGATTTTGTTGCTGCGGTGCTGTGGGGTGGTGAGGTGATGTAGTTGTCTCAACTCATCCAATCATAACACAATTTTAGTAAAGCCGATCGAGCAACAACGGTGACAATGGGCCGTATGAATAAAAATAAGCAATTGCTTTTTCTTAATATTTCAGACCTTTTACTCGATTTATTCAAACAAAAGTGAAGTAACAGGTATGAAATTTTAAGAAAAAGCAATTGCTCAGTTTTTATTCATACGGCCCAATAACAAAGCATGGCAAAGTGAATCCTTCGTGTATAATATAAATACATACACATACATTTAAGTATATACACACATATACATTTTTATTCAAGTATATACGTATGCTTTTGTTGAATTAGCATCGATATTTCGTAACCGCCCATTGTGTCCCCCCTTTTTAGGTCAGCGGTGCATAATCTTCCCTGCTCGCAGCTAGTCTCCCAGATTCCAATACACACAATACTTAGCCAAGACAAAGGCAACAGAAAAGCAAAAGGCGGCGACAAAGACGAAAAAGGAATAAATGTGAAGAGCGAAATTGCCCGAAATCAATTCTCGAAACCATCTCAACGACTATAATCTTGTGCCTGCATATGTACGCGTATCTAATTGGTGGCATGCAGCATCGGGTCGTTGAAGATTGGCAGCAAACATAAAAGTCTCATTATTGTCTGGAAGAGTGTAAAGCGCCAATAAATAACTGAAGTTACCGCAGTGAATTCGAATGAAGTGGAAATTGATTTAGTCAACGAAATTTCGTGGGAGTTGTCACATAAAATAAAAAAAAAACAGAATTATAAATAACAGCATGGCAACATCAACATCGGCGGCATCGACATCAGTGTCGGCGTCGGGATCGGCATCGGCATCCTCATCAACGCCATCAACTTCCGGGAATATGGGTATTGCATCCCCATCCACTTCGGTTATTTGTGAAGAAATTTTTGATGAGACCGAACCATCTCCTGAAGGTGAGTGTGATATGTACATACATATCCCTACAAACTATTTTATTAGAGTATTCTGAATTGTACAGAAACTTTAAAGAATTTATTAAGATCTCATCCGATTTTTTTGCCGAATTTTCTAAAATGAAACAAACTGTGCACATTTCGATTCTTTTACGAAATTTCTAAAGAAGAAAATCGGTAAAGCAATGAAAATGATGCTGCTCTGTAAAAATTTCTTGCAGATTGTTTTCAGAATTTTCTTTATTTTTCGTACAGAAATTTCTTTACGAGTTCGTGTCAACCCCTTCATATAATTTTCCTTGAAGATTCGTAAAAAATCGTTACAGAAATGAGATAAGATTTCGTTAAGATTTCGGGAACTTTGGTTTTGCAGGGATGTTAAAAGTTTTTATCAGCTGTATACAAAATGTCTATAATATTATGGATATTCATAGGAAAATAGCTACACCATTAAAAGTGAAAATTCTAAAATATCAGGACAATTTTCTTCTGGATACTGAGTTAATTACAGTGTAAAAAGCTATGTTTTTAATCAATTTTCAGTACCGACACTAGCCCCCAAATTCGATATATATCTTATTCTTTTATTTGGCACTGCAAATGTTTGTCGAATTGAGTCAAGTCCAAAAAATGTCATCAGTTGCAAAGTTTCGCCAATTGTCCATTCCAAGTTTCGAAAGGTCCTGGCCGCCTTTGCTATCGTGGTCCGCCCCTTGGCGCCGAACATTTTCACCGGAGCTTCATTATATTATCTCTGCGTACCCATGCCACCGCAATCACATTTGACTATTTATGGGATAAAGCTCGCACACTTCGCCATTATATCGTCTTCGGTACGCCCGCCCACGCGTAAAGCGTTATAGATTTTGTGTGGAATTATTTATCCGAAAGCTTTCAAAGCCTTCCCATTTTTATTCGACATTGTCACGTTTTTGCGCCGTATAAAAGGACGGGCAGATTTCTATACCCTAAATTTTGTTCGTCGCGAAAGGGCAAGAGTTATCCTTCGCTTGAGATCCAGGCTAAGGTTATTGCTGATTTTAATTCTGGATCCTAGACAGTCATTTACTAGTTCAAGGTTGTATCTTTCTTGTAACGTACGTTCCAAAATGCAAAGAATTTCTTCTTTAAGCTGGAAAACACTGCACTCACAGCCATGGAGTTAAGGCCAACTATTTCTGATGAGCACATTTTCCAGCATCGAATCTAAAATTTCGCTTGGTCTTGGCGTCATCCCAATATGCACGGAGCTAAAACTTGCCGGAACTCGACTCTATTTAACCGTATTAGTTTAGCAGGCAATGCAACATTAAGTATGGCTTCTTTTCATGCTGCCCAAAGCGGCTTAAAAATCGATGAAAAGATAATATGCGGCGATTTACTTATATAATAATCCCAGCGGTTTTTACCCTCCATTCCCGCCTATCCGCACGAGTCCGCATGACGTACGGTACCAGTATTTATTTTCAATTTTTGCGCCGAGTCACGATAGGCAGGAGTTTGTTAAGTGTCGAGATCTAAAACTGTTCAGCTACAGAACTAAATTCATCAGCCGATTTTTTGTCTTTATTTTAATGATTCATTTATTGAGAGAGGACAGTATCGATTTCTTAATGCTGAAAAGCGGATCTGATATATCAAACGTGCTGGAATGAGAGTTAAAATCCTGGAATAAGCAACGGGGTGGGTCGTCCAATTCAAAATTAGTTTTACAAGCTTTCAGAAATAGGGGACAAAAGTGTCTTGATACCCGGGAGGGAACATTAAGGCTAACTTCGCCCAGAAGAAGCGGACTTGAAATTGAGCCTGTCAGTAATTTAACTATAAATATTGTACCAAGTTTTTCTCCTGCAAATTACATTTCGTACACTTTATGGTATTTCTCATCAGCATTTACTTAAAAAAATGTAAAATAATCATTATCTTTTAATATTTTCTCTTAGTTTGTACTGGAATTTAGCTTTAGGTAAATAAACAATTAAATTTCTAACAAAAAAACAAAACCTAATGTACATGCATGTCTTCAATTTTCATGTAAAACTTTAAGATTACCGTTAATTTCTTCTTGATCCAATAATCGGATCTAAACCAAATTAGGATGGGACCACCTCTGAGGTACCACCTTTCCTTTAAAAAAGAATTATCGAAATCTGTTATGCGGTAATATATGTACACAGAAAAAATATTCCAACGAATAGATAACCTCCTCCTTTTGTTGAAGTCGGTCAAAAATAATGAAAAATTACGATTTTGGCGTAAAGACGAAGTCACATTTTAAAATTTGCATGCAATTAAGGCAACTAACAAATTTGTGTTTTAACTCTTCAATAAGTTCATAATAAACTTTATGCAATATAAATTTCTTTGTAGGGCTCAGTACAACTCAATTGTTACAATAACAAGTAATTTTTAAGCAAAAAACATAATCGACTTCAATTCTCATATACAAATTTAGAAGTACCGTTAATTTCTTCGTGATCCAATGATCGGATCTAAACCAATTTAGTATGGGACCCCTGAAGCACCAGAAAAAGAATTATCGAAATTGGTTAATGTGGTCCAAAGTTATGCGGTAACATACATAAAAAAAATCCGATGAATTTATAAACTCCTGCTTTTTTTGAAGTCGGTTAAAAAGAGAAAAATGAATAAGGTAAATTATTATAAATTTTTATTAGCTATATTTTAACATTTCTAATAAAATGTACATAAAAAATCTCAGTTAACCGTCTCATAAGCAGGTAACAAAATATTTCCCCTTGAAATATACAGCGCAAGAATTTCTACGAAACTTCAAAGCTGAGCTGTGGTTACAAGTGGTGTAATTTTTTGATAAAAAATTTCCCGGTTACAATATGTTCGGTACTTCCCAACTCTACTGCGAATGAAATTCACCTTGATTGCTGACATCAATGTTTTTATAGTGTTGCTAATGCGAAATTGGCAGAGTTGTAATTGTGACAAAAAATAAAATTTTACAAAAAGTATTCTGCACTTTAGATAAGTTATGATTTAAAATTAAATAGTCAAAATTCCCCGAAAAAGGCAGCTCATTCAACGATTCCCCGAGACACGCAACGAGACAAATTCCCCGTAAATCGGGGAATTCCCCGCAAGTAGGCATCGCTTATTCACACAGATGACGTGTTTTTCAAATGTTTCTCAAACCGTTCTTAAGTTTATAAACAATATTTGCCAAAAATTTTAGAAAATGTTTTGTGTCAAATGATAAACAATGCTGAAAATCATGATACAATAATTACAGGTATTGTCTTCCCAGAGAGCGCATATCTGCCTTATTTAAAAAATAACATTGTTGCCCACACTGAAAGGTTTACTGCTAGGGAAAAGGGATATTTCAATACCCCTTATATCATATATGTAAGTACACGTGTTTCTTTAAACAAACCATCTTGCAGAGAACTTATTTAATTTTGCAAAAGCCGAAAAAAAAACATTTCTTTATTTCAAGTAAACAATAAGTCAACAAAAACAAATTGTCTTACAGACTAATACAGAGATTTAACAAAAAATAATAATCTTAATAAATACACAAACTGTAATGGAAAAACGTCACGGAGACATAACTCCGGACAACATAGTTGGGGTAATGATTTCCAGCGCAGAAAAGTGGGAAGCAGTTGCGAGATACGTGAAATTCGTACTCCGCTGCAAACGAGAGGACGGTTGTCTACTGAGGACACCCGAATGAAACGCCCCTACAAAAGAGCAGCCCCAAGGCTCTAACAGC